CGCTGATTGGCTGCAAGTCTTGCCTTCGAGGCAAAACACGCTCTAGTGCTCTTTCGTTCGCCGCTCTCCTCCTCTCCCCTCCATTCTTTGTTGTTACCAACACACACACACACACACACACACACCCCGCTCCTCGCTCCTCCTCTTGTGGCTTTCTCCCCCAGCCCCGATAAACCCCAGTGTCTCTGAAGGCAGGAGTGGGGGTAGGGTGTCTGTGAAGAGACCCCAGAATCTGTCAGTGTGTCCCTTTCCCTGGCTGGGGGGTGGGAGGGGGGCTCAGGTGCGGTGAGGAAGGAGGGGGATTTGCCCATTGGGTGCTTGTGGAGGGAGTTGGTCTAAGGGATGAGTGTGTGTGTGTGTGGGGGGGGGGGGGGGGGGCGAAAGTGACAGGCAGACAAACCTGACCAAATGGGAAAGATCCAGGGCCCATGGAAATGTTTTAATTTCTTTTAAAATCAAAAGAAAGGAAAAAGGGAATCTAGGTTGAAGAAAATGTTTGAATATATAATATTAATTGCCTTTACAGCAATGCAGTTCATAAAAGGTAATTTTAAAACTTTCTTTTTTTTTTAATGGAGGAAGGTGTCCATCAGGCAAACGTGCCTTGGGCTTACAAAAGTCATACTTCAGCCCTGGGAGAGTCGGGTTGGAGGGGGCGGAGGGAGGCAGGTGTGTGTGTGGAGGTGGGGGCTTACAGGATGGTGGAGTGCACAGCTATCCGTAGTGATATTAGAGCCATCTCTGAAACTATGCGTGTGCAGTTTTAGAGATCACCCAGGAGCAGGGGACCTGGGGTCCGCATGAAGTTGGGGGACACGCAGGCTGGCTCTCTGTGTTTCAATAAGTTTGGGGGCAGAGTCTGTGCATTTGGGGAGTGTGGGCATTGTTAGAGATCAGGTGTATGGGACAGGTGTACTTGGGGTGTGCAATGTGAGGGTTTCCTGTATTCTTCAGTATGCTGAGGTATATGTGAGTGCAGGACTGTGTGTGAGAGAAGGTGTGTGTGAGTGTGTGAGTGTGTGTGTGAGCAGTGGGAGTGGAGGCCCAGGGATGGCGTGTCTGTATGTGAATGTGTGGCTGTGTGCACAGGTGTATAAGACTCTCAGTCCCTTCCCAATACCCAGTACCTGGGAACCAGGATGCTTGTTTTAACCTCGTTCCCAACCCCGAAAGGTCCTAAAGAAGGGTTCCCCCACCTGGGGACGTCCCCAGATCCTAGTCTGGTTTGGCACACAGGGCCAGCCCTTTAGGTCACCCAACTTGTTCCCAACGCCTAGCCCATGTCTCCATTCCAGCCCCAATTCTGCTCCTGCCTTTCTTTGGGATGAGGAGGAGTTCCCACAAATCTCAGTTCCTAGCAGAATATTTGAATCTTCTCAACCATCCAGGGACAGGCAGTGCCAGCGCGCCACCTTGTGGTCACGCCTGGGCTCTGCAGCCTCCCCCAGCCCGGGGAGGGGGTCTCTCTTGTGGACTCTGTCGGGCAGAGAAGAGCGCAGCGGGATCTGTACGCCTTTCCAAACTCAGACTCCCCGGGCACCGTGCCCGGGGTTCCAGGGGTTTGAGAGCTGCAGTTGGCAGAGACTGAGGGTCATAGTCCGCGTGCCGAGGGGCAGGGGTGCCCGCCAGGTCTGAGCGGCTCCGGGGAGGCCTCGGCATGGGAAAGGTGGGGGCGGGGGCCAAGAAAGGGGAGCGCTATCTGTCTGTCTATCTCCGCGTCCCCCCAGCGCCTATCGCCCGCCGCTCCGAGCCCGTGGCGGGGCGAGTTGCCACCCGCTCTGGATGCCCTCTGTTCTGTTGCCAAGAGGGTGCCAAGAGAGCCCACGGCGTCGGGGGCAGGAAGGGCACCGGGCAGGCCGGTTCCCCTCCCAGGATGGGAGCGGGGGAGAGGGGGAGAGGCGGGCAGGGCCTGCTTTGGAGCCCCAGCTCCCTACAGAGAAGGGACAGCGTCAGACAAGCCCCTTCTCTGGCATTCATTCATTCGTTCATCAATTCATTCATTCATTCATTCATTCATTCATTCATTCTTCCAGCAACCTACACGAAGAGGGCCAGGTGATTCAGAGATGGCAGGGTGTCTACCTTCCTCATGAGGTCCTCATAGAAGCTCACTCCTTCCCCCTCCTCCCTCCCACTCCTACCTGTGGCTCCCGAGGAAAATGAATGAAGGAGCACTGGACTGGGAGTCCAGGAATCATGAAACAGTCGTGATGTTGGTGGTGGGTGACATTAATTTCTATGCTCCATTTTGCTCTGAAAATCTAAAAGGTCTAGAAATGGACTAAAACGTCAGCATTAGGGACCTTCGTGAGCAATTAGGTAATGTGAGGTTAACAGCTGGTCCCCCTTGCACTGTGTGCTCTACGACAGCAGGGGCTGTGTCTGTCCATTCACTGCTACCTCCCAGATACCCAAGGCAGGTCTTGGCACACACAACCTCAGTGCAAATAGATGTGCGTTGAATGAATGAGCGAGACTCCCTAATACTGGAGAGCAGCTGAATCATCCTGGCTGGGTAGGCTTGCAGGGTTAGGAAAGGAGCAGCACTGCATCCAACTGCCCTGCCCCACTCCAGGGCAGGAGCAGGAGCAGATTCCCAGACGAGGCCACGATGGCCTGAAAGGGGCCTGTCAGGCCAGCCATACTGGAGCCACCAGCCGCTGGGCGGGCACCTGCTGGTTCAGGGTGGTGAGGCTCCAGGAGGATGTAGTGGGACCAGTGCCGCCCACTGCATCTTGTCTGGACCAACAAGAAGAGCAGGTGCCAGCCTGGTCAGAATCCTGCCCCTGGTGGCGGGGTGATGCAGGGCAGCCTGTTGTCGGCCTCTGGGAGGCTGGCGGGAGGGAGAAAGGTCAGGGCTGGTCCATTACCCACCCTCTACCTGGCGTGAGAAAAGGTACCCTGTTGAAGTGAGCTGTTTCCTAGAGGCCAAGTGTCATGCCACCTGGGCACGGCCCCCACAACTGGGCTCACAGAGTGCCGGGGAGGAGCTCAGGACGGAGGATGCCCTTGCTCTCTCCGTTTCCTGGGATCTGGCGCCATCTAGTGGTCAGTGTGAGGCGGCCAGAGGCCAGCTCCACTGGGGGGGACCTGGGAAGTGGGCCCGTGCAGGGGCCTCGCCATCATACCCAGAAGGACTATAACCTTAACTTATTTTAGGAGCCGCATCAGCACCAAATATTCACCTTTCATCATGACCCTGCCTTCCTCTGCAGCTGCCACCCCTCCCTTCTCCCGCCCATCCTTGTCTCCCCAGTGGCTCCTTCCCTTAGGTTTCTCATCTGTAAACCAACGTGTCCCCTGAGGTCCCTTCAAGCTCTGCTGCTCTATGATTCTAAATTCCAGGACTTCTGTCTCCCAGGGAGAACCCCCTCCACTTTCTTGCCAGCTCCCTTGGAGGTACATGCAGGCCTCCAGGCCTTTGCAGCCTGGGCATCCTTCTGGGGGCCTTCATCCACTCGACACATACTTTCTGAGCCTCTACTGTGCTGGGTGCTAAGGATGGAGTGGTGAGCAAGGCAGACACAACGTGCCCCCCCATGGAGCTTGAGGTCAAAGTGCTCAGATGGGGGTGGCACACACTGCTGTGACAGCCGAAGGGGGCCTCCAACCCTTCACGGCGGCAGGAGGCTATCTGAGCTGAGACCTGAAGGCCGCACTGGACATGGCTAGGAAAAGCAGGGGTGAGGACCCAGCCGGCGTGGCTGAATGGTTGAGCATGGACCGATGAACCGGGAGGTCATGGTTTGATTCCCAGCCAGGGCATATGCCCGGGTTGCAGGCTTGATCCCTGGTGTGGGACGTGCAGGAGGCAGCCGATCGATGATTTTCTCTCATCATTGTTGTTTCTATCTCTTTTTCCCTCTCACTTCCTCTCTGAAATCAATAAAAAATATATATATATATTTTTTTAAAAAGCGGGGATGAGAGGGAGGAGAGGGTTTCCAGCCACAGGTGCAAAGGCTTCTGGGACTGCCTGGGGCATAACTTGGCGGGGAGGGAAGGGGGTGGCCAGGGGTAAAGCTGGAGTGGCCTGGAACCCACCAGCAGGAAAATGGGCTTTGTCATCTGGAGCAAGCATGTCAAACTCAAAGGCTAACACGGGCCAAATACACGAGGCATTCTAGAAGGGTCCCTCTAGCTGCTGTGTGGGGATGAACCAGAGGGGACAAGATTGGAGGCTGAGAGGCTTACACACTGCAGAGAAGGCCAAGCAAGAGGGGAATTGGGTGTGGGTTAAGGAGAAGGCAGTGTGTGTGTGTGGAGAGGGGGCGGGGGAGTGAATTTGAGAGATAGAAGGTGGTCTGGCGATGGCACTTGGATGTTAGTAATAAGAAGAGGGGAACAGCTGAGAATAACCCCAACTTCTGATTTGGGCAACTGAGGGGAAAGCTGGAACCTGCTCCGAGAGAGAACACTGGGGGGAGAGGGTGCTGGATGGGGAAGATGTGTCCTGTTTTGTTTTCTTAACTTTTCATTCAAGTATAACATCCATGAAGAGAAGTGAGAAATCATCATCAGTGGGTTTGCATGAGCCAAACGCAGCTGTGTGCCTGCACCCAGGGTGAGTATTGGGTTGAGAAACAGTGTTACCAGCACGCAGAGCCCCACCTGCTCCCTCCAGTTACTGCTCCCCAAGGGCAGACAGTCTTAACTCCTGGCTCCGTGGGTCGATATCGTGACTTTTGTGAATGAAAGTATGCAGCATGTGCTCGCTCATGTCTAGCTTCTTTTGCTCAACATCATGTTTGTGACCTTTATCTATATCGTTGAATATGTTTGTAGATCGTTCACCTTCAGAGCCGTCTATGGGCCCTCCATCATATGAATATTCCACCACTTACTTACCTGTTCTACGGTTGATGGGCATTTGGGGAGTTTCCTGTTTGGGGTACCATGAATATTGCTGTCAGCATCCTCGTACATGGTTTTTGGCGCACACACATATGTACACACTGCTGTCGGGTACCTAAGAGTGGGATTGAGGGCCATGGGGTGTGCGTGTGTTCAACTTTAGAAGATACTGCCAAATAGTTCTCCAGAGTGGTTGTGCCAGAAGCTCAATTTTGATCGTGTTTGCGTTCTCGTGTCTTTGAAACATCTGGGAGGAGCTGTCCAGCAGAAGCTGGCTCCATGGATCTGAAAGATCCAGTACAGAAGCTGGGATTGGAGATGTAACTTGGGGGTCAGGTTCATCCTGTGGTAAGTGAAGCCATGGGTGTGGGTGAACTGGCCCTGGAAGGGAGGGAGAGAACAGAGGGCCAAGGAGGGCCCCGGGGCAGCACCTGTGAGAGAGCAGCCAGAGAGGAGTGAGGCAGTGCGAGAGGTGGCCCTGTGTTGGAGAGGGGGCTGGGTGAGTGTTTCAAGAAGGAGGGACCGGCCAGCATGACTCAGTGGTTGAGTGTCTACCTATGAACCAGGAGGTCACGGTTCGATTCCTGGTCAGGCACATGCCCGGTTGTGGGCTAGATTCCCAGTGTGGGCGTGCAGGAGGCAGCCAATCGATGATTCTCTCTCATCATTGATGTTTCTATCTCTCTCCCCCTCTCCCTTCCTCTCTGAAATAAATTTAAAAACATATATATTTTTAAAAGGAGGGAGTAGTCAGCAAGGTCAAATCCTGTGTGGACGTGTGGTCTGAGCAGAATGAAGACAGCTGGCTCACTGGATGGCAACTCAAGGAGGCATTTGGTGGCATGGGGAAGAGCAGGTGAGGCGGAGGGCAAGCTGGGAGGTTGTTTACACTGGCTGAGGGGCGAGTGGGAGGGAGTGGGAGGGGAGGAAAAGGCAGAACAAGTGCAGGCAAGGCCCCAGGGAGCAGAGAGGGCGGTGCCTGGAGGGCATTTGGCATGTTGAGAGGGGTGTGTGTGTGTTTTAAATGGGAGCAAGCCTGTTTAGATGTCAATGACAGCAGCCAGGAGGGAGGGGTTCATCAAGGGGGCCATCCCTCCGTAGGTGGGAGGGGAAGGATCTGGAAGCCGCCCAAGGAGTTAGCCTTGCAGCAGATTCTCTCCTTCTGTTGAGTCAGGAGGGAAGATGAGACCATCAATACTGGCTTTCATTGGGCACTCACTATGTGCCAGGGGCAGCTCGAAACATTCTACACAGATGAGTTCATTCACTCCTCACAGCCTATGGCGTGGGCACTCTCCTTTCTGTCTTGACAGAAGGGGAAACTGAGGCACAGAGCACATAAGTAAACGGTAGACTTGAGATTTGAACCCGGGTGTTCTGACTGTTACCCTCTATGGGGTAGGCAGGTTCGTTTGCAGGTTTGGGGCAGAAGGTCATTTGATCGAGTTGGGTACTGGACACATGGGTGCTCTCTGTGTGTTTGGGATGTTTGAAACATGTCAGAGTAAATAGAATCGTTCCTGATGTCAGGAGATTCCTGGGTGGGTGGGTTCATAAAGCAGGTGTGAAGTTCAGAGCTGCGGAGAGGGGAGCAGGTGGGACCAGAGGTTCAAGGAGAATGGGGAAAGGCGGGCAAGCCTGCTGCCATGGTGACCAGGAAGAGGACGTACCAGGGGACATGGATGAATCTCTGGGGCGGACAGCCCTTTCTGTGGTGGAGGACTCTGAGGTGGTAGTGACCCCAGGAGGCATGGTAGAGGCCACACCAGGTGGCGGCTGCTCTCCAGTCGGGCTCAGTGGTCAGCTGTGGACAGACAGTTGGGTTGACCCGGGTGGAAGTTTGCTTGTCAGGCAAGGGAGGAACGGACATTAGCAAAGGTTGCTCATGTGGCTTCTAGGGGAGTGTAAGCCAAGCAGGAAGGAAGGGAGGGAAGAGTGGGGTGACAGGTGGAGGAGGAGAGGAGAGGTCCAGGCTGAAGGTCCTCATGGAGGTCAGAGGCAGCCAGCAAGGAGATCATAGAGGGGGTGTCCTTGGGGTCAGAGAGGGGGAGGTTAGAATTTATTCAAAATGTAGGAAAACAAAGAAAAGGGGAAATCTTGAATGAAGCCAGAGGGGCAAGAGCCACCTTATATAGAGAGGAACAAATATAAGAATTGCATCAGACTCCGCAGAAACCATGCAAGCAGGAACAACGTGAATTTTTTAAAGTATTGAAGGAAAAACAACAACAACATTGGATTCTGTACCCAGTAAAATTATCCTTTAAAAGTGAACATAAATAAAAAACCTGAGGGAATTTGTTGCTAGTAGACCTGCCTGGGAAAAAATGTTGTTAAAAAGTTCTTCAAAGAGAAGGAAAATGACATAAAAAAAACAAACAAAAACAAAACTCAGTTCCATATAAAGAAAAGAAAAACATCAGAGAATGAATAAATAAAGGCAAAATAAAATATCTTATTTTTTATTCTTAATTGATCTAATAGAAAACCGTTCATATAATGATAGAACAACATACTGGATACGTGAATAGCTTATGGATAAGTGAAATAAATTACAGCAAGGCTATAAGGAGGGAGGAGTAGGGGACACTCTGTTATAGGCACCTGTACTAGCCATAAAGCAGAATGGTGTTATTTTAAAATGACTTTAGATCAGTTTAAAGATACATCACAACTCTGAGGCAACCACTAAAAATACTTAAAAAACATTTTTTTTCTGCAGAAAGTTTTATTGTTTCCATCTGGTCCAATGCAGAGGGCTCCAGGGTGGTTAAAAGAATGGCTAGTAGTTCTGGGAGAGGCTCAGGTAAGAGCCAGGCACCAGGGGGAGGCCGAGGGGCCCCTCAAAGGCCTCTGAGCTCCACAGGCTCCAGGTCGTGCTTGAGGGGAGCCTTTGGAAGAGATACTCGCCCAGCCCATCTGGGGCCGGCAGCCTGTGGAGGTGAGTCAGGTGTCGCCCATCTTCTTAATGAGCATCACCTGCTCACCCAGGAAGTGGTTCTGCAGGAAGTCACGGAGCTGAGGGTCTGCGTGGGCAGAACCAGGGCCTGCAGCTCCCAACGGGCCTGGGTCAGGCTCCTCTCCAAGGCCAGGGCGGCTTCCGTGGCTCCTGAGTGTTGCCCGCTCACCTTGGCTTCAGCACGTCCTTTAAAGGACGCTCAGCGCCCTCGGCGTCTTCTCCACCAACTCACAGAAGAAGCGGCCCACGCCCTCGGGAGCCACGTCGTCACCGTGGAAGTAGAAGCCCCGAGAGAGGTAGGTGTGGGCGCCCGCAGATGCAGGCTGGCCAGGCGGTTGACCGCAGCCTCCTCCTCTGTGGAATAATTCCGACGAATTTGGGAGCTCATGGTCGGTCGTTCGGCAATCAGGAGGAATTAAGGTAGAAAAACCCCGGTGTGTTGGCTGGTCTTGGAGGTGGTTCTGGAGGTGGTTCTGGAGGTGGTTCGGAAGGTGGTGACTGGATAAGAGGCTGGAGAGAGGTCGGAGGCTGGAAGAAGGGGCGTCCCTGGGTCTGTTCCATCCAAACACTGTGGAAGCAGGAGACGGATCCAGACCGCCAAGGGCACTATAGGAAGAGAAGTATACAGTACTTGGTATGATAAGGGAGAAGAGAACATGGAATCATATAAAATGTTCAACGAAAGCCAGAGAATGTAGAAAAAGAGGGGACAGAAAAAAGAAATAGGAAACAAATGCAACGACTAGAAAATAGCCACAGATGTGGTGGATACTAATTCAACGGTGTCAGTCATCATTTAAACGTGAGTGGTGTGAATGTACCAGTGAAATGACAGTGACCGACAGAGCAGATGCCAAAACCAACAAAAGCCACCTCTATGTTGTTTACATGAAACCCCCTTTAACTACAAAGATACAATAGATTAAAAACAAAGGAATGGAGAAATATATTCCATGCTGACACGAATCCAAAGAAAGATGGAGTAATTATATTAACTTCGGACAAAGCAGACTTTAGATTCTAAAGTCAGTGGTTCTCAACCTTCTGGCCCTTTAAATACAGTTCCTCATGTTGTGACCCAACCATAAAATTATTTTCGTTGCTACTTCATCACTGTAATGTTGCTACTGTTATGAATCGTAATGTAAATATCTGATATGCAAGATGGTCTTAGACGATCCCTGTGAAAGGGTCGTTCGACCGCCAAAGGGGTCGTGACCCACAGGTTGAGAACCGCTGCTTTAGAACAAGGAAAAATATCAGGGATAAAGAGGGGCTTATATAATTATAAAGGATTTTGTTTTCCAAGAAGGCACACAAATTGTTTATGTATGTGTACTTAATAAGAAGGTCAAAATATCTGAAGCAAAAAGTATTTGAACTACGGGAAATAAACACTTTTATAGTTGGAGGCTTCAACACTCCTTCCTTAGTAACTGAGTTTGAATTTCTCGTGGGTAAGATTTACTAATGTGTTTGAAGAACAGCAAGGAGGCCTGTGTGGCTGGAGAAAGAGTGAGGGAGAATGCGGAAGATGAAGTTAGAGAGGTGATGTGGCAGGGGCAGGGGGATGTGTAGGGTCTTGGGGGATATTATAAAGATCCCGAATTTTACTCTAAGTGAGACGAGGGGCCCCTGCATACTTTTGAGCAGAGATGTAAGAGTCTGATGTCATTCCTATCTTGAGTTAGGAAGCTCACTCTCTCCAAGATATATTGTTAAGCAAAAAACACACCAAACAAAAACAACATGAAAAAAAAAACAACAAAAACCAAGATGGAGAGAAATGTGTATGGTATGTTACCAGTCATCTAAAAATGGGGAGTGTAGCCCTAGCTGGTTTGGCTCAGTGGATAGAGCATCGGCCTGCGGACTGAAGGGTCCCAGGTTTAATTCTGGTCAAGGGCACATGCCCGGGTTTCGCACTTGATCCCCAGTAGGAGGCATGCAGGAGGCAGCCGATCAATGATTCTCTCTCATCATTGATGTTTCTCTCTCTCTCTCCTTCTCCCGTCCTCTCTGAAATCAATAAAAATATATTTAAAAAAAGAAAAAGAATGAAATCTTGCCATCTGAAACAACATGGATAAACCTAGAGGGTATTATGCTAAGT